ATGAATGTAATATTTGTGCTAATTGAAAGTTCTGTGCCAATTTTGTATGTAAATATATAAATATATGTTCTGTTTTGTTTCGGTATAAAGGTTTGATTAGATTCCATATGCATATTTGCAGCCATTTTACAGGTGATGTGTGTAATCTGTGTTGCATCCCATCAAGAAGTACAAAATGCCAGGTCACTAGAAGGCACTTCAGACAGGCAGAGTCAGATCTCTCTATGGGGGTACTTCCAAACTTGGTGATTAAGAAGTAGAGTGAGTCATTTGTAACTCAGTAAACGTGCTCCTAAAAATCATCGGCTAAGCAAAATTACGAAATATAAACCACAGGGTTTATGGGGAAAACTGGTTTAGAGGCATGAACCACAAAAACTTCATCAGCGACACACTAAAAAAAAAAGAGAAACCCAATAAAAATGGTAGCACAGTTTTACACATGTTAAATGGTGAAGAAATACATAAACACTATATAAACATCGCACTTTCTCCTGAAACGACCTGAAGTTTGCACGTGGGTGTCAGGAGGATGACTCTTGTAGATGAAATCACACATAATAAGCAAGTGTGAATTTTGTGCCATGCTCAAATTGTTCCATAATATATTAATCACATTGGAACTAAACCGTGGTTTCAAAACAAGTGCTAAGCAGAATGTAATCTGTGGGTTGATGTTTTGACACCATACACATATCCTTTTTCTCACCAACCTCGCTCTTCCTGGTTTCAGCATCCATTGATTATCTCTGCCTGAGTCAAAGATTTCAATGGCAGTTGCAAAGTGGTGACTTTCTGATTGCATCAATCCTTGTACGTTTGTAAACTAACATTGATCTGCACAAAGAACTTTTCCTCTTCTATACAGAGGACGATCTGTGCTACCCCTGTGGACTATGCACAAGTTTAATTCTTCTTTTCTGGCTATCCTTCAAATGTTTTAAAGTCATGATTTTAGATTTCCTCAGTCTTCTTGTCTCCCAAGCTTTAGTTGTTTCTCATATCACATGCTTTGGAATTCCTTTGCCATTCTGGTCACTTTCTTTTGAATAAGCTCCAATTTGCATACAGAAAATATAATTTCCAAGTGGAATCTGATTGAGTGGATTGAGACAATTTTCACTCTGGACATTATAGTTCTGGTAATGCAGACCAAGGTCAGCATGGTTTTGCTAAGGTCACATCTTATTGTTGATTCATATTTTCACTAAAATTGTTGAGCTAAATTTCCTTCAACCTCACTTGTTCTTTTTTTTTTTTTAAGACCAAGTATCAAGAACATATTAGGTTAAATTCCATCTTAGCAAATTCAACCCAATTCTCCAGATCTTTCTACACAGTTTCTTATACTAGCTATAAATCTAAGGGGCTCTACATTTTCATCCATGTCATTCACAAATTTGATCAGCAAAGGGCCAAGGACAAAGCTTGCCCTTGATTATGACCATTTGACATTTCTTGATTATGATCATCCATCCAGAGCTCAATCTATCAAACTGTCCTTGCCTCTAGCTAACATTTCTCTGTCTAATCCTCAAAAATATCATATGAGAGACCTTGTGAAATGCCTTGCTGAGGCCCAAATACCCATCCACAGCATGCCCCTTAATTACCCCTTTAGTCACACTGTCTAAAAAAGAAATAAGGTTAGTGTGACATCACTTGTTTTCAGCGAAACCACACCATAGCCTTATGATCCTGGCTTTCTTTCCAAGGAGTTCACAAACTGCTGAATATCAAGCAACTCATTCATCAACGGAACAAAAGATGTTTTAAAAAAGTAAACATGAAATAAGTTTAGGGAGAATGATCTTGAAGTTCAGATAAAATATTAAGTTGTAATGCTTGCTTATTTAAAATTTTCTTAATTTTCACTGTGCTCTGACCATGGATGAATTTTGTATAAGCATAAAAATATAATAAACGGCAATACGTGTTGTTAATTTTAAAAGAAATCCTCTTGTTATGTTTTTGATGTACTGTAATTAGTTTAATTGTTATACATTTTTAAGAAGTTATTATTTTCAAGGATTTGCAATTTAAAGGAAAAAGATGTTGAAGTCAGTCATATTCTCCAAACCTGCTTTTAAAATTTTAACATTATTAGTTTGTAACACTGGCTGTGCAGCCTGGTTAAATAACATTTCTACATTACTAGCTTTATGTGATGTTTGACAGGCCTATAAATCTATCTAAACAGAGAGAGGATGAATCAGTCAACAGGGTCCAACTAAAGGGCTCATCAGTGGTTTCATGGCAGACAATCTGGAAAACAGATTGGTCTGTGTGAAAATTTTAGCACTGCAAGTTACATTCTTGAGTGAAAATTCATGTAGTAGAGTCAACGTAATACTACTTCATAAAATTAAAATATTAGTGAGGAAAAGGCCAATGACTATTTATGTATAGACTTAGAATACTAAAGACATGCTTCTGGCAATAAATTTTCCTCGACCTAAAACAACGCCATCTTTGTCTTTGAATTCATGTAGGAAAATCAGCTAAAATGTCTCTTGTAAGTTAGTGCTGTTGACAACCAACAGAGTGAGGCACGTGGTCAAAATGTTAGAGACATATAATATACTCACAGTGATGCACTTAAATGTTTGTTCTGTTTATTTGAAGATATTCAGACAGTTAAAGACCTAACATCCATGCTTAGGGTATCAGGAATTAAAAGCAAATATATAAATAACTCTAATATGGACTGGAATGCTAGGAATTTAACCCAAGAAAATTAATATGCTTGATATTATCACAATATGTGAAAAGATTTCAATGTTACAGACCAGAATATATTGAAATCAACTTCTATCAGTTCGAAAGGAATAAAAAATCAATCCTATTTAAAAGAGGCTAATTTAATTATTTTGTTTTCCTGAAAAGGATATTAGCACTTTACCTTTCATTTATTTATTGCAATTCCACCAGGAATCTAAATGTTACTTGTAATTTTCAGCTTCTGTTGAAATAGCAATCTTTTTCCCCCAAAATGTCCAATAATTGTTGCATTAAGCAAAGAATACAATTCATAAGGCAAATGATTCCTTCCTTTCCCTCCACATTGAAAACAGAATGGAAATTGCCTCTTTTTCAGTGATTTTTTAAAAAATCTTGGTAATTACTACAGTTTGGGTATTATTATTTATCATGCTAGCCTATATTTTAGGGAATTATGGAATATATATCATACAAATGAAATCGATTTGTTAGGAGTAAATTATACAAAATGTATTTTACTATGGAAAGTTTAACGTTAACTCCAGATGACCTTCCTATGAATTTATTTATTTCTCTCCTTTTCCCTCACCCCATCTAAACAAACTCTATGTTAATTACAAACTAGGCTCTGGCTCAGGAAATGACTGACCATGCTTTTCATCTATTTGGAGCGAGCTCCCCAGGACTATAAAATTAGTGGAACAGAACATTGTCCAGGTTCTGTGCCAATTACTTTTAAAATAAACATCTTTTAACTAAAATGAACACTGGGCCAATATATGTATTTGATTTAGAAAATGATTTTTAAAATTAGAAGAAAGTCTTGGCTCAGTTTCTATAATGGTCTAATATGACCCAAGTCCATTATCCTCTTCAGATTGATGAGTTCCATTGTGGATGGCATTTAATTAAATAAGATAATGCATGTTCTTATTAATATGAATGTTCTTATTTATCTCTTAAGAGGGAGTTCACATAGTAAAGAAAGTCACATTTTGATGGTTACATTAAATAGTATTTTTCAGGCTGGTGAATATAAAAGGCTTTTGAAGTATAATTGTTTTCCAAATAATTATTGTGCTATACTCAGTTAATTACACAAGTTGACAAATTAAGATTCTACCTTTGCTCCTTTCCATTTCTTTATGAAATAAACAAAGTTCTTATGATTGTTAGAAATGTTGGTCATATTTATTATATTTATCTATACAAAAATAAACTTTTTTCCTTTTCTAATATAAAAATATTTAGGTCCAATCCACAACATTACATGATTCACAAAAGCAAAGACATTCACAGAAAGGAAAGTCCTGACATAATTTGTTCCGAACGTTATTTTCTAACGTGTCACATTTTCTATCAGATATGGGTATCAGACTGTGAATATACTCTATGCATTAGGGTCTTAACTTTGAAGAATAAATTCCATAACAAGAAAGAAAATAGGAACGTAGCCACTTCTAGAATATCAAAAAAGAAAAGACTAACTAGGACCCTTTGTTTCTCACACACAAAGGACATGGTTGACATAATAATGAATTTCAGATATGTGAAAAAAAAGTCTATAAGGAGAATATGGAAAATTTTTCTGAGATGGCAACGGCTGTCACTATCAGAAATGAGCTCACGTGGAGGGATTTTTATTGGCCTACTGAAAGAAGGTCTTTACCTTCCACTGATAAAACACTGGAATGAAAGGAGGGTGCTTACGTGAGTAGTTTCATAAAAGAATAGATAACCCCCATTTTCTGACTAGTTTAGACATCCATAAACTAAAGAGGAAAAAGGAGAGAGAAAAAGAATGGGATTAATACAGATAAATGAGATGCACAGGTCATTTAAAATTTATAAGTTAATGATTTTTAAAACATTTTCACAAAACCAATAACTATCAGACAATAGTTTGAGAGAACAAAATAGCTAGTTTGAATTTTAGTTTAATTTCCAAATCTTAGCCTCTGTGAGGATGCTAATGACCTCAAAGCAGGCATCCAGATTGACATTAATTAGTTAATTATGTTCTCAAAAAGAATAGGATTTCAGTGGTATTTCTAAGATATTTTACAAGGTAATGAGGCTCTGGAATCATAGTTGTAATGGCATTAATAAAGAAGAAAGATAAATAACAGAAAGTATTTTATCATCTAATGTACATATAGGAAGCTAAAAGAACGGTGCTATAAATATGTGAGGGTTTTACCAGAGACGCAGAACCACTATATGTATTATTTTACAAATATTGATACAAAGATTGACCTTACACAATCATGGGAACTGGTTAGGCAGGCTCTGTAAGGCTGTGGTCTTTCTGTCTCGTGTTTGACCTTCAGTCTGCAGGCCACGGGCAGGTCTGGAAGGCAGTGAAAGTGGAGGAGAGTAAGAGAAACTGGAACCCATAAGCCTGAGCTGGAGCCCACAAGGACAGACTGGAACCTGGTGAGTCTCTCATCACTGCCAATGCTAGTGATGCGGTGTCCTGCAGGGAAAGCTGGCACTTTTCATCTTAGAGCTAAACTCACACCTGGCCCAGGCATCAGAGAAGCGAAGGAAGGACATGGGGGTGACAGAGCAGCTGCAAGCCAGGTACTGCCCACACCAATGAGGTGAGTCAGCAGGAAAGTGACAAGATGGGTGAGTTGCCCACAATACCTGTGCTTCTCCACTGATCTTCCCAGCATCAGAGTAACACAACTGCTACTTCACTTCCCCTTTTCAAATGTCTTTGTGGCCTGCCATAACTAGAAATATACAGGGACAAGAATTCCAGGAAATGTTGCCCAGCCTAGCCAAGTTAGCATATTGCCAGGCCACCAGAGTATGCTTAGGGATTATCCAGAAAATCAAATGACAGCATGGTTCTAAAATGTATGCTCCAGCAAAACTCCTCCAAGCTACAAACCTGAATTGCATCCATTTGCAAGCTGTGTAAAGAAGAGGTGCCATATCAATCAGAGTGCTGGCAGAAACAGAAGGCAGACCCAAAACGTTTAACCAAAGAAGGCTTAAGAAAAGGACAGAACAGAGCAGTGGGCAGAATTAAGGAAACTAACAAGGGATAATGACACCCCAGAACCAGCAACCCAAAGTGGCCGGAAGTGGCAAGAGGAGGGAACAGCACCAGTGGGAGAGGGAGTGGCAGTGGAGAGGCCTCTCAATGAGACCCAGAGCCAAGGCAGGCAGCCTGTGTCCAAACTGCAGCCCCGCAAGGAGGGAGCAAGGGGCACAAGCACTCTGAATTCTCTCTGTTCCAGATCTCCGCTCACATACCATTTCCTAACTTTGCTGGACCCAAATGGACACCAGTGGGCAAGGAAGCCCAAGCGATGCTGCCATAGAGGGCAATCTCCTAGGACAAGCACAGGCCAGAGAAGGGTGGAGAACGGAACTGATTGGAAAACAGAGAAGCAGCAGCACACATGATCAATCTAAACCAAATTGGCTCTTTCATAAGTACACGTTTTTCCTTTTTTGTTTATTTATTTATTTATTTATTTTTTTGAGGAAGATTAGCCCCAAGCTAACTACTACCAATCCTCTTCTTTTTGCTGAGGAAGAGTGGCCCTGAGCTAACATTCATGCCCATCTTCCTCTACTTTATACGTGGGACGCCTACCACACACAGTATGGCTTTTGACAAGCGGTGCCATGTCCGCGCCCGGGATCCAAACCGGCAAGCCCCCGGCCTCCGAGAAGTGGAATGCGTGAACTTAACCGCAGTACCACTGGCGGGACCCCTTTTTTTAAATGACATTTGCTGATCCTAGTGAAGAAGTTGCCAGTCAATAATAGAATTGTGTAAAGATTACTAAGGGTAACAAATTTCTGGGAAATACTAAATTATTCAAAAGGTAATTGTTCCTAAGGGTCTGTCTCTCTACCCATCACGGTGTTTTTATTTGCTATTTAATGTCATACTCCTTCGGGCACCAGGACACTTGCAAAGCAAGTGCAGACCCTCACAGGTGCCCCCCCCCCCACACTTGCTGCGTGTGCAGCTCACCAACTGTTGGGTCCACCCCAAGTCTCTCCATCCTCCAGCATCAAACCAATGTGCCTTACCTTACCTGCATTTCAGGGAAGTCGAGGCAGCATCTCTCCTGCCCAAGGGTCTGCTACCCTACCCAAGGGTATTGCAACGTCTGCTCAGGTACCAGAAACGAGAGAGGGCAAGAGCCTCACCCCACGACTCAACCAGTTTGAGCCACAGCGCTGCCAGCCCAAGCTGGGACGGCTTCCGCCACGCCCCACACCAAGATGCTGTGCGCATGTGCTTCTGGCCCAGACCCAGCCGACGTAGGCGCCAGGGTGGACTCTAGGTTGGTATCAGGCAGGGGCGAACTGGTGGGCCCCATGGCCAGGGCGAGTAGAGCAGGTGACTTAGAACCTGACCGGAGGAGTCGGTGGGAGATGGACTACCTGTGAGTTGAGGCTCCAAGCCCCCTAGAGCATGCTCCTTTGTCCCATGGGGCTTCACTTACAAAACTCAAATTCAAAGAGAAAGCGATTCAGAACTCCATGACGGAGCATTAACCCACAGTCGTGGGACCCTTCTAACTGTGGGACCCTGGGCAACCGCGCTGGGCACAAACCGGTGAAGCCAGCCCTCGGTAGGGCTTTACACTAATTTTTTTTCTAGAAATTCTATCAGGGTTGAAATGAAGCCAATTTCCTGAAGAGATCCCTTGTGTCTGGAACATCTTGCAAATATTCATGAAATGAGACATAATTGTTGAATTGTTGGGTGTCTTGGACCTTGAGATAAAGATTTTTTTGTTTTTATTTTTTTCTAATTTGATGATGGAGTTTTCTATTTATCAATGAGACATTAAGTGATGTTTCCTTATAATCTGGCGATGTTTCTGACATAGGATGAGACAGATTGTATCTTGAAAGACCCTCGGGATTCTTGTAAACCCAGGGCGGCTTTGATAGCCAGTTGGAAGCTATTTTACGGAGCTACAGTTTTAATTCCCACTCTAAAACAAACAAAAAACACTATTTCACTTCTTTCCAAAGATGTTAAGATTTTCAACTGTTATTCTGACACTGATAAAGTGAATTACTACTCTTGGACAAGTATTTGGCTCTTTTTTAAAGAAAGCCTAAAAATAGAAGATCCCATGTAAGCGTTTCTACAACCTACCTGAGTTTCTCATAGCTGAGGTATTGGTATTAATTAATTTAGTTAGACATGAATGTCAATTTCAACGTGTGTATTTCCACTGATCTGATAAACTAAAAGGAATTGTCAAAGTTTTGCCTACCATTCTTTCATTTTTAGTTAAAAAAATTAACGGGAAAGCTCTGATTTTGCCTTATAAAGTATGAATTAGTGTAAAATAATTTGAAATTTTTCTTTCCTCTCTTGGAGTAATTACTGCGGAAATACTTCATTCTTGTAACAGTCTTGAATTACAAGATGGAATTTTTTAAAAAGTATACCAGGTGATTGATTTAAAAGCCTTTGATGTAAGAGACTAAAAGGTATAAATAAGAGTAGGGAGCAAAATGACTTTCAGATTCTTCTATCCCCTGATTTAAAATAAAATAAAATAAAAATTCAACCAAAATATTTTGAGACAATGGGTCATTCTAAATGGGCAATGTTAATGTTAAAATATTTCATCATAGTATTTCTGGAAACTAGCTGTTATCTAAACCTGCATTTGTGTTTCTTAATTTTTGCTATATGTATCCTCACCTCCTCTTTCAAAATAAGAAGGTACACCAAAGTGTATAATAAATAAGAAGCAGTAATTAAGCTCTAGAAAATATAAAGAGAATTTATTTTATCTCACAGAAAATGTCTGGGTTTTGTGTTGCTTTACAAATGTTTAAGGGTAAAAGTTTTTGCCATGTTAAAGCATGGATTTAAAATTTGAGACTTCTGTTACTTGTTGATATGACAAAGCAGAAGTAAAACTGTTCAGGGGTATTTTGGCCCTTCCCTCAGGAAGGCCCTGGGACAACTTTGGGCCAAGGTTGGAAGAATCTTCTATTTAGATCTTGTCTAGTTCTTCAACTTTCACATGTGTGTGTGTGTGTGTGTGTGTGGCTGGCCTACTCTCAACCTGTCTAAAAGTTAAGCCTATTTGTCTACACCAACTGGCAATAAAGACTTAAATACACTCAAACGTTTCTCAGGAATAAAATGTTTATCCTACTGCCACTCAGTACTTAGCAGCGACTCAGTTGAGAGATATTACATATAGTCAGTAAGCTGTCAGGGATCCGAGTCCTCTGGAAAGAAAAGCTAAGTCCTTGGACTGCTATTGTTTGCTCCACCATCCCCGTGGAATTGTTTTCAAACAAAACTGAACCTGAAAATACTCAATGACAGAAGGAAATCTGAATCACACTGATGTTTCCTTAATAGCTCCCTAGGTCTTTTGTTGCTTTCTCTTTTTAAGTTAAACCCTGGAGTTGCCAGATTTTTCCTGCATTTATGCATACTCAGCAATATTTAAAAGGGAGACTCTGTTAGAAAACTATTCCAGATCTCAGTCAAAATTACTCGTTAACTTTTTTAATAGATATTGGTTTGCTATTACAATGAAGTATACACTAGATGCCAATGAGAACGTAATATTCTGTCAACTTGCAAAAACAGAAATCAGTTTAAGAGGCAAAGTGTTTATTTGGGATCAAAGAACTGCAATTCGGGGAGCAGAGATTCAGGTCGAAATCCAAATAGTGTCCCGATTACAGGAGAGGGGCTCAGGGTTTTTATGGGAAAGGGAAGAAGCGTGAGTTGTATTAAGGAAGAGTTTATTGGTGCTAGATGAGGTAATGCAAGCTTTGTATTTCATAGATTGGCTTGAGATTCGGTCATCAGGCAAAAAGCTAGACTTATACTTCATTGACTGGCTAGCAATTTGGTCATCAGCAAAGTCCAATTTCATCAGTCCTTACAAGCAGAATATTCTTGTCCTTACAGACTTCTTGGAAGGTTGGCAGTTTGGTCCAGTTTGGAAGATAAAGAAAACAAGGTGTGCGAGTTGCTTCCTCTGAAATGACTGCTCCAACTTTATTTCAATATGGCTCCACTCACGTCATCTCTCACCATTCAATTCGGTATTTATTGATAGGCATTCATTTCCTTAAGTAGTGAAGAACCGTCTTTAGCCAAGTGCTTTTCCTCAGCTGATACACAGTCTCTTCTATTTCTGGGTCTCATGTGAAGTAACACTTTTTCATGATGACAATCTAGGGGTAATAAAAAGAGTGGAAAGAGGAGCATAGGTATTTATCTTGTTTTGATAATTATTTAACTTAGCATTTATCTTGTTTTGATAATTATTGATATATGGTGTTTTTTGATATATGTGATAATTATTAACATATAAATAATGTCATTTTATTAATATAAAAGTTAACTCTACCTTCCGGTTATTCCCAACTCCTCTTAATCAAAAGTTTAGGAATGAGATAATAGTGAAAACTGGCTTGCTCCCCGCCTTTTTCATGTAATTGTTGCATCATTTCTTCCCTACAAAATATGGTTACCATGGACATGGTAAGGTGATCATTCTGAGGTCAACAGTAAAGAGAAAATGGGAGAGATAGATTAGCACAAGAACATGGTCAGAGGGTGCAGTTTCCTTTTATGAGGACACGGGGTTAAGAAATTAAGTAACATATATTTCGAACCCCTCTCACAAGTGGATGTTGAATGTTATTTTCCTAAAATGTTATAAACTTCATTAGATTATTTAAATTAAACTTCCAGTCTATTACAAATTAAATGTTAATAATTCAGGCTAATATTAATAAAAAGAGAGGTAAGTCAGGGCAAAAGAAAATGTTCCCTCCACAAAAAAAAGAATTTTAATGAAAAGAGGACACAAGAATCTTTATTATAAAATATTCAGTTATTATTAGCTTCTAAATAAGTGCAAATACATGGAAAGGCTTATGGTCAAAAAGTAATAATCAGTACTTTCTGCTCAATTTTGCTGTGAATCTAAAACTGCTCTAAAAATAAATTCTGAAAAAATAAAATAAAATACTGAACTTGGGCATGTTCATGTACCATTGGCCACTTAGAAATCCTATTCATCCCCATGCTGAAGTCATGCCTCCCTTTCTTTATGAGGTAGAGGCACAGTGTGCAATGGTTAAGGAGGGGTGCTAAACTGGACGATGTGAGTTCAAACCCTGGCTTCACCACTTTTAGCTGTGTGACACTGGGCAAGTTATTTAACCTCTCTGCGACTTAGTTTTCTCATTTGTAAAGTGGAGTGTACCAGTATCTACTATTGCATAACACATCACCCCAAAACTTAGTGGTTGAAAACAATAAACATATTATCTCACAATTTCTTTGGGCCAAAAATTCTGAAACAGCTTCATTGGGTGGTTCTGGTTTGGGGTCTCTTGCAAAGTTGCTGTCAAGATGTGAGCTGGGTTGCGGTCATTAAAGACTGTCTGGGGCTGAGGCTTCGGAGATGGCTCACTCATGTGGTGCTGGTTGTTGGCTGGAGGCCTCAGTTGCTGCCCACTTGGGCTTCTTCGGGCTGCTTGAGTCTCCTCACAAGATGGTGATGCTTTAGCAAGAATCCCCCTACCCTTCATGTCTCTTAGGAATTTTCCATCCACTGAGCTCCCTTCACTCTGCTTGTTGGCTATAAAACCCCAGCTGTCTTTACTGCATTCAGAGTTAAGCTCAATCCCTCATCCCTATTGCGATAGTCTTGACACGGATCACAATAAAGTCTCTCTTGCCATTCTAGCAAGTATTAGAATAATTTTTTCTTTAACACACTCCAGGGCAGAGTCCTTTGTAAGTTACCTAGTTCCAGCTCATGTCTACTGGTCCACAAAGCCCAGAGGTGTCTCCTGCATCCTTGGCCTGACACACTCTGGGGGTGCAGGCCCATCTCTTGGTTCTGCTGCTGAGTCAGGACATGTAGATTCTCCAGTATTTTCTGCTCAGGGAGTCTGACATCACCCTCCACAGCTCAAATACCAAGGGCACAGGTCAAGCTCTCTGGTTTTCTTGAAGCTTCCTTTCACTTGGCTTAAAATGAGGAAGAAACAACTCCTTCTCCCCGTTGGTGGAGGATGGGACATATAGGCTTTTCTCTTTGTACCCTGAAGCTAGGTAGGTTGGCTAATTCAGGCAGAACAGGTTTGGGAGCCACTCCTTTTGCAAGTCTGGCATAGATTAGCACTTAGCATAAGGGTACCTAGCACCTATTGTGCCCAACCTCCACCAAAACTCTGAGCCAAGGGACATTAAAATGGATCATGAGGGGAAAGCCAGTGACTGAAAACACTTCTAAGGTACTCCTTTCAAAGGGAGTGCCTTTTGATCTCAAGTCCCTTGCTGGGCCACTGCCAAGATGTGACTCTGGATAGGAAATTTATACATACCAATTCCAAAGGTGTTTGTTATTGTGATGCAACAAGACATTTGAATGACCAGTATTTTTCCTTGCCTTTGCACAAATCTCGCACTTTTCAAATATGTCTGCTGTTAATTGAAAAGAGTAAAATGGGATCTATATAAATTATACTCAATCTAAATGCTTTCATAATCAGTGATGGTGGCCTTGTGTGTCATGACTTACATTCTCTATATTTGTCTTGGGTTGCTTGCTCAATGATGTAACACCACATTCCTACAGTTCCCGTGTCTGCCCCTTACAGCAGTCTTTCTCTGATGAGATAAATCTCACTTTCTGCAATTTAAGATATTTTGTAATTTGTGACTGGTTTCATTCTCAAGAATGTATCTGAACAGTAAATTCTAAGACAACGACCCTAAAATAATTGTTGTCAATCCAGCAGTTTTTAACTTTTGAAGGGGATCAGTATATGCCACCTCAAAATATACCACTTTGGCATATTGATTATTTCGAGCTGAAGGCAATTGAGAAATAGCAGACCCCGGAAGAGCTCTCTGCCCTCCTCCTTTCTGCCTCAGAGCAGGGCATCCATTTCCCTCTGTAAGGGTGACATAACTTTGTATTTGTAACGGTGTTCCCCTCTCCAGGAAAACTGAGATGAGTCTGCATAACAAACCTTGCTAAACAACCCTTAATTACCATACATTTCTTAGTCACAATTTATTGCCCCTAGAGCCCAAACCCCCTTTCCTTGTTTACTCACTTCTCTACAACTTATTGCCCTTTCTTAAAATTATATATAAGCCTCCAAGTCTAACTGCTTCTTTGGGTTTTCACTTCTTTTCTGTAAAGCCCTTGTGAACATAAAAATATTAACATCAATAAAAAAAAGTATACCTTTTCTCCTGTTAATTAGTCTTTTGTCAGCTTAATTTGCATGCTCCAGTAAAAGAATTTAAAAGTTTGGAAGAGAAGCTTTTTCTTTGTTACACTTTGGGTTAATATCCTCTTAAAAATAACTGGAAAAATAAAAGATTTGGTAAAGAATTAGGTTTTTATTGATGGAGTTCAGGACATGCTACCCCACAATGTGGCACCTTGACATAGTGATATTTCAAGTTGAAGGAATTTGAGAAACAGCTCTTGCAAGGAAGGAATCTCCAAGTTTCCCCTGAAGCAGATCATAAAACCTAGGAAAGACTTTCTGACCTACATCTGAAGTGGGTCAGAGGTGCCCTTCCTAAATGCAGAGAAAAGGAATGTCCCTATCTCCAAAGACAAGGGGACAAGCAAAAACTCTGGTAACGTTCCCCCCGTTTACTACATTTAACTTGAACACTTTGTCCTATCATATATTTCCATGACTTTCCACTATTTATCATATCTAGCATGAAAACACTCGGGTTTAACCATTTCTTCAGGTCTTCATTCCCTTATGAAGGTTCTTCCTGTGTCACATAAAACTTACATTAAATATATTTGCATGCCTTTTTTTGGTTTAAAGTGAGTCACAATAGTCAGCCCAGATTCACGGGGGGAGGACACACAGAAGAAGTGTCAAAGAACTTCTGGATATGTTTTATTTTTTAATTCTTTTGAGATTGGCACCTGAGCTAACATCTGTTGCTAATCTTTTTTCTTCTCCTTCTCCTCCCTAAAGCACCCCCCCCAGTACATAGTTGTAGATTCTAGTTGTGAGTGCCTCTGGTTGTGCTATGTAGGATGCCACCTCAGCATGGCCTGATGAGTGGTGCTGTGTCTGCGCCCAGCGGCCGAACTGGCGAAACCCTGGGCCACTGAAGCAGAACACCCAAACTCAACCACTTGGCCATGGGGCCGGCCCCTGGATGTGTTTTACAATCAACAAAACTGCTTTAACTTGCTCTTCAATTAGTTGTACTCACCTGTTAAACTCTTAACCCCAAACAAATCCATTCACCTTGACTCTAGTCCAAATTGCCATGGCCCCTCACCTGGCTCCTAACTCTTTTTTTTCCCTAGTTCCAACCTTGTCCTGCTAAAATCCATTCTCCATTCAGCAATGAGAGAGATCTTTTAAAAACGTAAATTAGTTTGCATCATCTCCTGATTAAAATATATGTTATTTCTCATTACTCTTAGGAGAAAACTGAAACTCCTTACCTATAAGGCTTGAAATGATTTGGTCGCTGCTCCCACTTCGACTTCATCTCCTATCCGCCCATTATTTTCACCATGTTCCAGCCATACCAGTCTTTCTTTCTTCCTCAAATGCGCCAAATTCTGTTACACCTCAGAGATTTTCCTAGAATTCTTCCCTGCCTAGATCTTTGCATTGTTGTCTCATCCTCATCTTGCAAGTTTCAGAGCAAAGATCACTTCCTGGATTAACTCACATAAGTGCCACCAACCCCTTCCCCAGTTGGTATCTACTCCATTACCCTATTTATTTCCTTTGTAGCACATTTATAATCTAGACTTTTTTGTTCATTTGCTTAGTTATTTGATATTGACTCTTCCCTCCCCCTCTGCCCCCATTCTCATTAAATTAATCCCTTGAAGGGCAGGCACCTTATGTACCCTGTTCATTCCTTCATCCACTGCAGCAAGAACTATTCCTGGAATACAGTGGATACTCGATAAATAATTGTTGAAATATCCCCCGCACCTAGAACTATGCCTGGAACATAGCATACGTCATGGAACATAGATTCTCCATAAATACTCCTTGGATATTGAATGAATGGAAGCTGCAGCCTTGCTCCACACATCTCAGCAGTCTACCTGATCGGATTTCTGCCTGCTTGAACGAGATAGCGTTGTAAGTTACCTGTATTCATTTCCTAGAGCTGCTGTGACAAAGTACCACCAACTGGTGGCTTCAAACAACAGACATTTACTGTCTCACAGTTCTGGAGGCTACAAGTCTGACATCCAGGTGCTGGCTGGGCCACGCTCCCTCTGAAGACTCTTGGGGAGAATCCTTCCTTGCCTCTTCCAGCTTCTGGTGGTTGTCAGCAATTCTTGGCATTCCTTCGTTTGCAGCTGCAGCACTCCAATCTCTGCCCTCCATCTTCACATGGCCTTCTCCCTGTGTGTCTTTGCCAAATTTTCCTCTTGTAAGGATCAGTGAGTGGATTAGTGTCCACCCTAATGCAGTATGACCTCATTTTAAGTTGTTTACATCTGCAAAGACTCTATTTCCAAATAAGGTCACGTTCACAGGTATGGAGGTTAGGACTCCAACGTATGTTTTAGGGGATACACTTCAACCTACAGCAGTGCCTAACATAACACTTGTACTAGGGGCCCCAAAGGGAAAATTTCCTTTCGACTTTGACTTTTCTGTGACCCCTCCTTTAGTTTCCCTGCTTAGACTGGAAGCCAGCCCTGAGTCTGGGCATTTCACATATCTGAGGCTCTGATCCACCCTAAGTTCTCCCAAGCCCTTCCTCCTGGGGGCTGAGGCCTGATATGTTGATAGTCTGACTGAACCCTCTGATTCCCAGCTGCTACTCCTGCCTCAAGAGCCTACCTCCAGAACAGCTTTCATGTGACGTATATCATACTAGATCACTAGAAAGTTTTAATATTCCTTCTAGTTCTATTATTTAATTGTAATAATAAGCTTTTTTGTTGGGTACAGGAGCTAATCTGAGAATCTGAGGGCCATTTATAACGTTTGCCTTTTTCTTTAGAAACATTGAATTTATAATCTAAATTACAAATAAACTCTTAGAATGGAATTGCATAGGTAAATTGGGGAACACTTAGATATGAAGAGCTAAAAATGATGCAAGAATCAAATAACAACATGACAGTAATATATAGATCACAGGGTAATAAACACTGAGGACATCTAAGAGTGCCATTGCTTCTAGGGAGGTATTCATACTTTAATAACTCCAAATCTAAAGGAACAAAGCTGTAGTATAGAATTTTAGTTAGTGCCATAGGAGGTGCAGTATTTTTTCTTTTTGTATGGATTGTCAGGGCTTCCTAGTGCTTTAGAATCACAAACATGAGTGGAAGCTCACCTTTCTGGAAATGCTGACCCTACTATGGACTTCCAGCTTTTGAATTCAGTGAGCTAACAACTTAGTCCATTTGGTTATAGAGAAGGGATTCTTTAAGAAACTGGATTCTACTCAGCTAGCTGTGTCACTCGGAGGGGAAGTCATGATGGCAGTTCAAGATGACCCTGCAGCCCTGCGCTGGCCATAGGGTTTCTGGCTCTGCCTTTTGTGGGGAAAAATTCCGATACATTCTTCCATTGTTGGGTTAAGGGTGTTGTGAGGGGATTGTATACGGAGTTATTCTCTACTATAGGACATACCTTCTAAGTTTCCACAAGAGGCAAATAAATGCCATCGATACCTCGCAATAATGGGTATTTGCTAGATTTTTTTGCACTAAATCAATAGGGTTACCTTGCATAGTGAAAGACTCCTAAGCAGTCATTGGGGCCCTGGATCCTGGAAGTGGAGAGGGCAGGCAAAAGTGAGGTTTTTCTTTTAATTGTCTACAAATAGGAGTCTTTGATCTGAAACAGAGGATAATGTTAAGCTGAGCCTGAAGTACCAGGGACTCTTATCATGTAGGAGCAATATTTTGCTGAAGTGCTACTTTCTGACTAAACAATCAGATACCTACAAGCTTTCTTCCAGCCTTTAAAGCCCCTCAAGACCCACTGTTCTGGGAGGCAGGCCTCATTCCTTTGACTTAAGTATGCTCCCAGCTTGCAGAATTTAGCTGCTGATGGAAATAGCACATTTTCCCTTAATAATTATGCTCTGGAAAGCAGGTATTTGTCACTTCCCAAAGGACAAAGCAGCCACCCCGATATCTTGAAGTGGATCTATAAAAGGGTTTTGAAAGCCCATTTATCACCACCAGGCTATTCTAAATAGATGGAGAGAGGAATGGAATATTTGTATTTATTCATCAAACATTTTTTGAGTCCCTATAGTGTGAAAAAACCTTCATTCAAGGCACTAGTACACTCAATATTAAGATGAATAAGACAAAGCATCTGCGTTCGGAGGAGAGTGAGAATTGTTACCGTTCAGGGTAGAGTGTGAACTGCACTCTAAAAGAGGTTGAACCCAACGTGGGGTTCCTAAATAGGATGACATCATTTCTGACAGGGTGGATCTGAACCTTGACCGGCACTGGGTAAGGTTTTCAATATATAGAAGTACTCAAAGGTGGGAGGTGAGACGGAAGAATGCTCCAGTGAGAGAGAAAAGCATGAGTTAAGGCACAGGGCTGGGACTGTCTGGAGATGGAGACACCCAGCTTGGCCCAGCAAAGCATGATATAAGGAAACAGTGGATGTGAGGCTGGAGAAGTAGGTTGGGTCCCACTCTCAGAGAGCTTGGAATGCCAGGTAACTGAGTCACTATTTTACACTCTAGGTGGAAGGCAGGGAGAACACAGAATTTATTATCTGAATTGGCACAATTTTGAAATAAAAGGAGGCACTGTTAACATTTGTGCCAGAAGAACAGTTATAACCTGGTACTGTCCTGAGCAAACTGGGGCCAGTGGTCACACTAGTAATTGGAAAACTCTGCACAGAGAATCTTTGATTGGGAGGAGACTGGAGTGACTTCACTACAGAGAATAGGCCCACGAGGTGGGAGTGGAGGGGCGGGCAGGCCTAGGAGTAACTGTTAGTTCCCTAGGGCTGCCACAACAAAGCATCACAAACTGAGTGCTTCACACAATAGAAATGTATTCTGTCATGGTTCTGGAGGCTAGAAGTACAAAATCAAGGTGTCGGCAGGGCCACGCTCTCACTGAAGCCTCTAGGGGAGGGCCCTTCCTCGCCTCTTTCTGGCTTCAGATGTTGGCGGCAGTCGTTGGCATTCCTTGCCCTGTGGACACATCACAGCCATCTCTGCCTTCCTGGCGTTCTCCCTGTATGTCTCTACATGGCCTTCCCTCTGCTTGTCCATCTCTGTGTCTCTTCTCCTCTTATAAAGACACCAATCATATTGGCTTAAGGTCCAAACATATTCCAGGATGCCCTCATACCAACTTAACTACATCTGCAAAGACCCCACTTCCAAACACGGTCACATTCTGCGGTTCCGGGAAGGACATGAGTCTCTGGGGGAACACTCTTGAACCCTGTACAAGTACCAAACAGGGCTCTTTGCAGGAGTGGAGGATAGCTCGTGATCCTCAAAGATAGAAAGGCAGGAGGCAGCAGAAAGGCCATAGGAAGTGGAGAGTGTGGAATTTTCCTCAACTGGGCAGCTTTCCCCCAGGGGCCCAGAGGGTGCTTTTCACACTGAGGATGTAACTGAAATGTCAGGATGAGGTTGGAAAGCTCCCTACTGTATCCCATCCTGCTTCCTCCCAATTTTCTCAAGTCTGGGCTCCTCTATTTTCCCCTTCTGGAAGAAGGGACCACGTTTAATACTAGATATCAAACCAGTCTTGGAATTGAGAGACAGCAGTTCAAGTCATGACTCAGCTCTTTTTCACTCTGTCACCTCGGGCAGGTCATATGATCTTTCAGAGTCTGTCTCGTCCTCTGTAAAATGAGGATGTTGAGGATGATCAATAAAGGTCCCTCTGTTTCTGTAAGCTGTGACTTTAGGAGGATGAGGTGAACTAGGCTCCCCACCCCTGTTAAGAGGCTAGACTTTCAGCGGGACTCTTTGCCATCACCATCTTTTAGCAAGTGTATCTATCAGACAGTGTTTGTGGTTGCAAACAACAGAAATTGGTTATCTTGAGCAAAACAGGCATTTATTAGAAGGCTATCAGGGGCTGGCACCAGGAACCATCTGCTCCAGGTACCCCACTAGGGTGGATCCGATCCCCTTCCTCTGCCATGCACCCTCTTTGTTTGTATCTCTAGCTCAAGGGTCAGAGTCCTGGGCAAGAGGCTAATTAGCAGTCAGTCCTGGGCACACCTCTCAGGTTGGCTGGGTATAGGCAGAGCAAAGATAAGATTTCCCCCAAAGGGAGACTGAATTGCTGATAGAGGGAAGGGTTGGATGACGGACAGCCACGAAGACAACACCTGCCTACAGCCAAGAAGTGTTTGGAATTCAGCCAAGAATGGAGATTTTAATAGTATATTTAGCCACTAGTATCTCTGCACTAAAGTTGCTGCTGGATTATTAATATTGTTATCACTATTATTTTAATTTAGTGGTTCAGAGCTCATATTCTGGAGTCAGAGAGACTTACGTCTGAATTGCAGCTCAGCCTCATAGTAGCTGTGTGACTTTGGGAAAGTTATTTCCTACTTATTCCTCGTCTGTAATATGGGGATGATGATAATACTGACCTTATAGATAGATTATTGCTAAAACTAAAAGAGATAATATATACAAAAGGGCTTAATGCAGTGTCTGGCCCATAAAATATACATTACCTAGTAATAATCATTATGGACCAGGCACCAAGTGAAGTGGTTTTCTTGTATTATTTCATGTAATATTCACAACTATTTGATATAGTTAGGATCAAAACCCACTCTCCCACCCGTCTCCCTTTCACAAAAGTAGAAACTGATGTTACAACAGAGAAACTTCCTTAAGGTCACACAATAATATGAATTGTCAAAGCTGAGATGCCAGACCAGCTCTGCCAGACTCAGAAGCCCAGGGGCTTGGTGGTGTCTCCTGGAGGAGTCAGCTCAGCCCAGTGCTGCTTAGAGCTCAGCAGCCCCACTGCACAGCCTCCAGCTCCAGCTCTGCTTGAGGTCAGGTGAGGAGACACCTGGCCCTGACGCGCCAACCTATCCCTTGAATTCTCCTCTGAGGGGGGTCAACACAAGGCGGGAGGGGTTGAAAAGTTTGCTTCTTTTCTGATTACTCCTTGTTATTACTACTAACCTCTCTGACCATTCTCTCTCACTCTACATTCACTACGATTAGATATTTGAGAACCGGGTTGCATTTAAATCAGGTTAACAATAATGATAGGGGTGTACTGATAAATTCGAATAGGAACTTAAGACAGCCGTGGTCTGGAGAATCACACACAAGAAATGACATCAACCTTACATAAACTATACTCAGGCATAAAAACCTATGGAATCACCGGAATCCAATTTTTAAATTATTAATCTACATTTTTTCTTTAGATGAGCTTTTTTCTTAGCTGAGTATTGTACATCAGACTTTTATACGAATTAAAATCAATTATTTTTTTAACAGCTTTATTGAGATAGAAATTCACAATCAAACAGCTTTCTTTTTTTTATTTTTTCCCTAGCCTTATTTTTTTGGTTCCTTTTTTTGGGGGTGGGGGGGGGAAGATTAGCCCTGAGCTAACATCCGTTGCCAATCTTCCTCTTTTCTTTTTTTGTCCTCCCAAAGCCCCAGTACATAGTTGTATATCCTAGCTGCAGGTCATTCTAGTTCCTCCATGTGGGATGTGCCACGGCATGGCTCGATGAGCAGTGTGCAGAGTGGCGCCCAGGTCCTAAGCGGTTAACCCAAGCCAACAAAGGGGAACGCAGGAACTTAACCACTCAGCCACAGGCTGGCCCCCTGGGTTCGTTTTTAAAACGACTATACTATTCAAAAAACAACTTTTACAGTCAACAATAATTCTTGTTAGATTTTAATGATACTTATCTTTAATCGCTTTTTACCCAAAGACAAACATTTTCCCCTTGATTCTGACAAAAATCAAATTTGCTATACGTTAGCAGCACATTCAGCCAATTTCCAAAGAAATGAGTCAAGTCCCCAACACGCAACTTTGCATCACACTACCTTAGAATTCAGCGGCACGAACAATAGTGAACTGTTACTCGGATAAAACCCCACTAAAAAGGACTAGATGGAAAGTAGATGGCTTGAAACAAATAAGTTTTCTTCTAACAAGCCGATTTTACGATCAAGCTAGAGGAAGCGTGGGGAAGGGCCTCCCCGCTGGGCCCCCGCTCCGGCGGGGGTGCTCGCGGTCCTCGGTCTCGCCCTCCCTGCGGGGAGGAGGCAGGGGGTCCCCGCGCCAGGTGAGCGGCCCCGGGCCGTGTGGGGCCGCCGCCCGGCCGCACGGGGAGGGGGGCGGCGGTGCTGGGGGCCGAGATATTCCTCCCCGCGTTAGCCGGGGCCACCCGAAGACAGAAGCACAAGACGAAGCACCAGCCCCGAGGCGCGGCCGGCCGCGGGCTCGGGCGGAGGGGCGCCGGGCCCGGACCCCTATCCAACGCCCGAACGCCCCGCCTGCGCCCCTCGCCGCCGCGGCCGCAGACCTCCGCGCGCCCCGACCCGGCGCGCCCCCG